CCTAGTATACTCTGCTAGTAGAGGTACAAGGTCACCCCCGGTGATAAATCAATTTCATTTTTAAATTAAAGTTAAATTAAGGAGTATCACATTTAAATACTACATAGAATTAATAATTATTAAATTTAAAGTAATCAGCATAAAAAAATGAAGTCAATAATAGAAATGTTTTCCAATTGAAATTTATACTGATGATAGGAATTAAAATAATTTTTATATTATATATATATATATATATTATAATAAAAACTATCATGTAAGTATTATGTATATTTATAGTTTTCAGTACTAATATTTGCTAAAACTAATTTAAGTAATCAATTTTAAATATAATAACAAAAATAAATCACAACTGTCTAACTGAATGCTTATCATTATTATATGGAGATCATAATTATTCTGATTACTTACTAAACTTACTAATAAATTTACATATAAATAGTAGTTATAAATTTGTTAATAAACTTGTAAAGAATTTATATTACATATGCTCATATTTTTGTTACCAGAGTGTTCTGTCGTATATGTCATTTCTATGATTTAACATTGATTGCGCGTCCGACTGATCCTTTGAGGACACCGCTTCGTAAAGATTTACAACTGAACTGATAGCTACCATCGAGTGTTATTGCGACAAAAATAATACTGTATATTCAAATTATTTTCTGTGAAACGTACCTACACTTTAAATATTGTAATTATTTAGGCATACATAATACATGATGATGATGATGACATTATATCTTACTAATATAATGAAATTGCAAGTAGACATTGTCTGCACTGTACATGTATAATACATGCACGCTATTTAAGAAAAATTAATATGATGGGTCTTAATAAGACCAATTGAAGCTAATGCAATAACTTTTGGAAATTATGGCTGTCTGTCTGTCTGTATGTTTGTTCCGGCATCACGTAAAAACTACTGCACCAAATTGTATGCGGTTTTCACAGTTGTGTAGAAATAGTCTTTTGCATTGGTTTCACTACTTAAATCTAAGCGTAAATAGTGGACAAAAATCTAGTTTTGATGTTATGTATAGGTAGATATATATCTACCTATAATACATACCTATAATACCTATGCGCAATAAAACGTAACCTTTTTGCAGTCAGGCAAAAATAGCTATAAATAAGCAAATAGGTACGAGTTACGTGACGGTACAAAAATATCAAGTACAACTTAACTGACTAGCATTATCAAAGAGTTACATGCAAGTCACTCAGTCCAGGGCCATATCCCCGTGCAGGTATGCCAATGAGGGCCGCGCACCAGCCACATCCATAAATCAAAGCATTCGTGCTCATGATTAATCAAATCAGACCCGACGTCTGTTATACATTGCACGTACATTAGATATACCCATATATACTTGCCTAGATCTTATTGAGGTCAGATCTACATTTTTAAGCGATTCCCAATAGGAGAAGACTCTGAAGTCGTCTATATATATATTTTTTTTTTTGTGGTTACGTTAGGCGATAATGTCGGTATTTCTAAAATGATTTTGATATTTTGTTTTTTGCTGTTGGTGGTATTGGGCTCATATTAGTTTTGTAGGTGATCATTAGAGTTGCTGTTTGTCTTTGTAAAGCAAAAAAATCTGTATACTAAGTAGCAAAATATACTAATGCATGCAAAAATACATGCAAAAATATTTCTTATTGATTTTTCTCTCTACAAAATTTCAACAATATCTAAACAGCGTCAGATATTAATAGATAATAAGAATTAGTTGATAGTTGTATTTATTAAAATCCTTTATATTTCGCGTGGGAGGACAAGTTCTCCGTAACATCCCGTGACCTCGGGCGGTCACGGATATTATGTACTAATTAGTTTCAACTAAAAGTTCCTAACATATCTGCACCACCTTTCTATCATTCTTCCTATCTATAAGGTACAAAATTAACTAAGTACATAACTATAAGTAATATAAAAAGATATCACACAGTATCAGAACTTTTAAATATGAATCATCCATTTGTTTAACCATCGTATGTTTGTCTTTGATTCGTCAATATTATAACATATGATAATGATAATATCAATGGTTAACTATCCACTGCTGAACATAGGTCTCCACGTTGAGGTATTTTGCCAGTAGTTGCCGTGTTGCTAAGTTTGGCAGGCGGATAGGCTACCGCAGTTGAGATTTGGTGACGTTTCAAGAACATATATCTTATTTTTTTATATAACAAGGATATAACCTGTTATTATTATAAACGGACTTAACAAATAGGATATTTTATACACTAATGCACGCGGAAAAGGATACTTAATAATAATTGTAATAATTAAGAATGTGTTTCACAAAAACACCGACTTCAGTTATGGCGAAATCAATTATTTTGACTTAAAAGCTACTGAGCCGATTTCAATAAAGTTTCTATGGGACCAATCTATAAGTATACGCTTTCAAATAGAAAAATAATTTCCCAAATCAGTTTATAACTGACAGGGTAATGAGGTAACAAACATAAAAAATTCAACTGGATTGAGAACTTTTTTTTATACAACTTACAATGGCAAACAAACTGACGGCCCACCTGATGGAAATGAGTAACCGTCGCCTATAGACATGCGCAGTACCATGGACATAACAGAGTATACCTACTGTTTCGCCCATAATACCCCCCATGCGTTGCCATTCCTGAGGATTCACATGTTATTCCTCTGTACCCTGTAAATTCACGCCATATCCCACCCTTCAAACCGAAACACAGCCATGCAAACACAACTACTTCCTTCTTTTTGGAGTCGGTTGAAAATGGAATGTGTTAAAAGTATTTTTATCCACTCTTACACAATTCTTTAGTAGGTAACCATTTTGCATTCGTATCCAAGCAGGTGAATTTTTATACTGTTATGAAAATGTAAAAGTCAAAAGTGGAGTAGCATCATCGTACTCCACAAAAACGTACGTAGGTACGTATATTAGCTTAATTACTTTCTAAATCACTGAATTCACTTTCGTAACTGTAATTGTTGTGGTCAGACTCTCGGTCGCGCCACACAACGTGATGTGGCGTTCCGTGATGCCCGCTCCAATTTATAAATCCGCTCTTTAATAAGTTTTTTTACGTCAATAAAATATTTTATGATACATTCCGCAACGTGTTATTGGAATGATCGTTATCAAATTAATGCTTTAAATAGAATTTTGCGTGCTACTCTCAAATGTCGTTAACAAATGCTTAAGTTTAACAAGCTAACTTTAATTAAATTGCCAATTGTTATATTTACTAAGACTTAGCTGGCGGGGGGAGGAATTGTTAGTAATGCGGACTACCAGTTTCATTGCTAGCAATATGCTCTGTTAGGTCGACCTCCACGTAGCCCCTTGGAAACCATCGTGCGTGAATTCCAAGTGTATATATATTCATCAGTATAGGCTAACTAACCTGCCTTTTCGAGGAGAAAAGGGATTGTTAGCGATGGAGTTTGACATTCCCATTGCTAGCAATATGCCCTATTAAGTAGACCTGTACGTGGTTCTCCCTGGAAACCATCGTGAACAATTCTTGTTGAATTCGTTACGATGGGCTAACTGACCTACTTCATTCTCACGTATCATCGTTCACTGGTGCCGGTGTATACCGACAGCGCGAGTGAGGTTACCATTCCATTATCACCCATTAAAAAAAACCTGCCTTTTCAGGGGGGGGGGGGGGGGGGGGAGGAGGGATTGTTAGTAATGCGGACCACCAGTCCTATTGCTAGCAATATACCCTGCCAAGTCGGCTTCCACGTGATCCCCCCCGGAAACCATCATGCTGAATTCCAGGTGTATTTATCACGATGGGCTAACTGACCTGTTCTTTCATTTTTTGCTTATTATCCCTCATTGGTACCCCGCCAGCGTACACCGTTAGAGTAGGCGGAGGTTACCATTCCATTAAAAACACCCGTAACTAATATTAATATCGTATCGTATAGTATCGTCGAAAAATCGAACCTTATATAGGCAATGCCATGTTCACATTAGAGGTCGCCAACTTAAAACGATTGTTTAATTCATACTAGCTCCTCCTCGTGACTTCATCCGCGTAACCGGGATATGTTCTTTGAACCGGTATAAAAAGTAATCTATATGCTTTTCCGTCCCATATATGATATGAGATGGATATGGTATATGTATACCAAATTGCATAATGCGTAGTGATTAGTTAAGCTGTTAAGGCGCTAAGAGATAGCAAATACACTTCCACGTTTATTATTAGATTCATTGAATAAAAACATTTCAAGCAATTTTTAATTTAGTAAGGCAAGCTTAAATTAAAGCTAAGATATTGGTTATCTGTTAATCAGTGACAGAAGCCTATCAAGGAAAACAGTGAAGTATAGTAGATCGCAAAAAAGTTTGCCGCCACTCTCTATAAAATAAACTATGAACTTTTAAGTCTCTACCAAATAATGTTGACCTAGTAAAAGTCGGCAAAAATCTCCACTGAATTTGTTTAATTTATTTACTGAGATTATTTAAGATTAATCTTAACTAAAAAGTGTTTTCTAATAGCAAACATAATAATAATTTTATCACCAACATATAGTGAAGATAGAGACTATAATGTACCCATATTATTTACCCTGGTAACAAACTTACACATTTCTAATATTAGTAAGAATTAATGTTAAAGTTAGTTATAGATAGTTATCGAATTAGATTGATATCTAATTCGATAACTATCTATAACTAACTTTAACATTAATTCTTAGTCGTCATACTCATAGACTAGTGCTACTTTTATTTTTAGCTTAATCAAATACCTATACTTTTTAACCAACACCTAGGCACATATATTACTAAAAGTCAAATTTCTTACCCGTCCTTCTCGGCTGGAACTTTCTGAACAGTGATAAAAGAAAATAAACAAATATGTCATAAATACTTGCAACGGCCCTTGTTCCTTGACATTTATAAACAACTTATTTGAATTTTAAGTAAATCTTGTTTTATATCTTGAATTATATTAAAATATAACACTTATTGCAGGTCAAACAACGTTGCTGAAATGGGACCAAGCATTTGAATTTGAAGTACACCAAATGCGGGCCTTATAACAAAGAGATACACAATTTAAAAGTTTGCACATCTGGTCTTCCTGTGATGGACATGAAATGACCTTCTAAATTATAAATTGAAAAAAAAACAAGGGATAGTAGCAGCAGGGGAAGAGTAGCATTCACTGCAGGTGAGACAAAAGTTATTGATAATAAGTTTTAAACTATTTGTCTATGGCATTAAAATTTTCAAATGATGAACCGTTTTCAATGCGGCATCACTTAGCTGTATTTGATGTAAATATGTAAGTCATCATTATGGATCAGTGTTACTCTGTATCATATATTATTTATATCGCTAAGCAGTGTGAACATGCTGTATACCAGTTTGAGAACTAAGATATGTTAGTGAAATTATTGACTACTATGATTCTACATATCACAAGGACCAGCAATTTAATAGTATGCATCTAGTGTTATAAGCTAGACTGCAAGTTCGGCCACCTTCGTGACATCGGATGATTGCTTTTTGATTATTATCCTCCCAAAAAATAAATGTATATAGCATCCTTTTTTATCTATTATAAACAAACCGAAAATAGACGTCAATATAGTTCTATGTATTTTATCACTTTGTACGTAAATATAATATCTTTTATGTACCAAAAAACAACATTTTTATTGTGAATTAACATGTTTATATTGAGACTCATTTGGTCAGTTGTCTTGTCCAGTATTTTTTTATGTTACACATTTGTTGTAATAATTTGAATTCTATATCTGAAATGAAAGGATTTATTTTCCTTAATTTCTATCTTCCGAGTCCAAGTAATGCCCAAGCAGACTGGATGTCAAAGTTATGACGTGTTAGATTGATTATCGGATGGATGTTAAAATACGTTTTACGACTTTTTATGACGAGGTTTCGGTGTAAAGCTGACTTAACAGATTCGTTTGTGGTCACATTGGCTATGCCCGTCGGCTCGTCCCAGAAATTTATTGAGTGAAAAATAACAACAGACGTTTGAATATAACAAAAAATATACAATATATTACGTACATCAAGTACTTATTACAATTTATCTGTACTTAAGTTAGTTATTAGATAACCGTCAGAGTTGTATGAATACTGTAACCAATCAAAATTAGTATTTGACGATCTATGTAGTTTAGTGTCAGGCAGCTTGAGAGTCCGGGTTCAATTTTCCAATTTAAAGTTAAAATTTCATGTTTTATAATACATGAAGACTAGACTATGTGAGAAATTGTGTGGCATTTAGAATTACTACTACTTTTTTACCATTAAGGCGCCAAAGGGTAACAAACACACAAACAAAGTCACCTTGACATAAATCATATGAGTAAGGATTAGCTGAATATGCAACAACGTTATATTTATAGGGATTTTAGAAATGTGGTTGTTTCCATTGACTTCTGATGCTGACCGCACCAGCATAGGCATACCCGAATATGCAACATGTCGCTTCTACCTGTCACATATCCGGAATACTCGAGCGGGGTCGACGCACGCGGCCACTGCCCGCCGGCCCGTGACGCCAAAACATTGCCTTCGCTTTGTGCCAGATTGTGTCATGTTGATACCCTATCTGATTTCACCGATTCAAAATTCTACACATTTCGGAATGGTTGGTAATATAGTAAGAGCCCCGAGAGAGAATAACAGTCTCCTGTCAGCGAAACCTCCATGTAATTCTACCTGGAAACTAACATGATTGAAGGAGGAGGGATCGTTAGTAATGGAGACTAGCGATCCTATTGCTAACAGGTCGACCTCTACGCAGTTCTTTCTGGAAACTGTAATGATGAATTCTTAATAAATTTGTCACGAAGGGCCAGTTGACCTGCTTTCATTCGTACCTATCATCCCTTAATGATACTGTGCTTCAGAAAGCAATGAATGGTGGCAATTCTCTGCCGACGTATCCCCTCTGCAAGCAATAGATCCACTCCGAGCATACCTGTCATTATTAACTGAAACCCCATTAAATGGTAATTGCTTAACCATTCCATTATCATTCATAAAAGTAACGCTACAATAAAAAAAATCTCAAATATAATAAGCTTATCAGCAGCTTAACAGTGATGTAATGAGGAGGCTTATCAACTTCTATTCACTCAATCTTATTTAATACTACTACTCCTTCTACGGCTTATGTCATTGTAATATTTTGTTTAAAATATAAGAAGCAAATAAATATGTAGCACACCTAATGATAAGTGGGTACCACTGCCTATAATCACTCGCAACATTAGAGAAGTTGCAAGTAAGCAGGTTTTAAGAAGGAGTTTACTCTTTTCTTGAAGGTTTCTAAATTGTAACTATTCTATTTCAATTAATTAATGTATTTCAATTATTTCTTACTCTGACGACGTCTAAGCTTGATATTTAATATTGGACTTACTCATAGAGGCAGAAGGGATTGTTAGTAATAGGGACTATTCACTGGTATCCCTTTATAGTACCCCACCAAAGTAGCCTATTAGCACAGATGGAGTTACCTTCAACTTTTATCCATAAAAAACTCCACAAAAGCCTGTAGCTGTCACAATTTGGAAAAATAGTATTCGCCACTTTATCTAAAATGGAAAATCGCCCCGCAATGATATAACATAAAAATAAATATCTAGGTGTAGTTTGTTTCAATAGAACTTAATGAAAAAGTAAAAGAGTTTTGTAGAAATGATCACAGCCACACTTTCTAAATTAAATTAATAACAAATCGAAACATTCAATCAATTAATTGGTTTTTGATTTCTAGTACTCTTAGATATCAATAAAGCATCTTACAGTCATTTTCATTATTCAATTGTCCATACTATTATAGCACAGTATATTAGTCAGTACATTTATTTTATAATATGTTATTTGGCACATATATTACGTACATAGTGTTCATATAGACAGTATATTAATTAGTACATCATAATAATTAAATAAAGTAAGCTGAAATAAAATAAATAATGAATTGTTTCGCTTTTTGTACTGATTTAAACATGTTTTAGCATTAAAAATAATAAAATGTATTCTATAACATGCTACTATCTAATAGAGTTATGAACACATTTGTAGGTATATTATGGTACAAGGCCCAACAAAATTACAGGTGGACAAGTGGTATCGGAAACGGAAGCTGCTCCCAACGCGGTTGCGCGGGCGCAGCAGAGACGACACGCAGCCGACCCACCGACCAGAACTGAACTACTAGTTCCGGTCACACATTGATTATAGGACAACTTAACGGTATTATTGATGAAAATAATATTATTTGTATTTCTTATGGGATTCCCCACTTTTTTTAAATTCTAAATAAAATTTATTGAATAGGCAGCCCGCGCAATTTTTATTAGGTATATGTGTGAAGTTATTATTATTGAGTAATATAAAAATTGTTTCAAATTTATAATAGGTTAGTTTCTTTAATGTTTATGACATTTATTATTAGTAATTAGTAGTAGTAAGTAGGAATTTAAAATAAATTTTGACGACCTTAGACTTAACATGCTCACCTTCGTATGGTTGCAACTTCAAATACTACACACTGCATTCATTCTGTACCGTAAATTTATTTTGTGTATTATATAATTTTCTTAATATATATATATACATGTATATATACATTTGTTTATGAATGATTTTGTTAAATAAGAATGAACATATTTAAAATAAAACATGTAAATATTAAACACTTGCTGTTTCATTCAAAAAGAGAGTACAATTATTCATAATTTGGAACTAGATGGCGTTCTGTGATCTGCCTTAGATCGGAAATTATTATTTAATGTGTTTATAATTAATGACTAATAAATGAAACATTAACAGATCGTGATAATTCATCAACGTTGATTAATCCAGCCTACACATAAAACTTTCTGCTCACTCTGTACCCAGCTTTCAATCAAAACCCATTGTTTATCTAATTACAACCTGTCTTCCAAACGTATGCAATATAATTAAACTGTTCCGCTTTATCTCAACTTCCACCAACGCTCCTTACCACACCAATCATTTGCACTTTGCACACATTGTATGTAATTTGACATGCAAGACTTAAGTAATATCGCTATCTTCAAATTAAACCATGTTAAACCTCATACTAAAACGTGGCTAACGTAATGAGCACACTTAAAACCCATGAATTATCATAATGAGCAATAACCAATTGCACGAACTCACGTCAAATCGGCTTAACTCATTCAAATTTATGGTTAAGTTCACTTTTCTCTGAGTTTTAAGTCAAATTACATGTACGACGGCTCGGAATGAGGTCCTATTAGTGGCCAAATGGCGCACCGTCGATTCGTGAAAGAAATCAAATTACGTTATATTTTAGGGGCCAAGGGCTCACGCTAACCCGCCACCGATACACAAATACCCAAAATAACGGGTTACTTATGTCTAATTTATAACAGGTAAATTGTGGGATGCATCGCGTTTTAGTGTTGTCTACGATCTTTGGATATCGATCATTAATCGATTGTTTGATTAACATTCAATTGTGAAATTAATAAGACGATATAATCGATTATATTCAAATCATCTATTAATCAATATTATCAATAGTATCGATAGCAAGTACTAAAAAAATTATTGTTTTTAATTTAATCGACCTTCTTACTTTTAGACTCTCTATCGAAATAATCGATACTATCGACAGTATATCATAACGCATTGATTGTAATTGACTGTTTAAATTAAATATTAAATTAATATAAATTACACTATCGAATAAGTAAATTATTAATCGATTATCAGACAACACTACGTGCGTGCTCACGTCTGAAGTGTCATTAGATGGATGCGTATGAATTATGTTTGGTTAAGTTTGTACGAAGATTATAGATATTAAATGTTCCATTTCAATAAAACGGAAGTATGAGCATGCTATCAATGTCACTCACATTAAGGTTTTTATAACAAAAACGAAACAAATACTGTATATTTTTATAAAAGGGGTAATAAAATTAATTATTGTAATTATGTTTGCGTAATACGTGAAAGAAAATTACCTATTGTATATTGAAAATATATTTAATTGATAGTAGATAATATTATACAAATAGTACTATGAAGTTTAATTTAATAATCTCGCTCTAGCTCTTGTATGGCCTTTAATTCCATATTATCCCATGGAAATCCCTTGCGGGATAAAACTATAATAATATGGTCTATTTAAGTACTTAGACTAAATTAATTCACTTATTATATGTGATAAGCTAATAATGAATTTGCAAAATGATCATATATTTACACATTTTGAATTGGAAATCATGCATAAAACTTAATATTATAGTCTATTTAAAAATTAAATTAATTCACTATTGTGCGTGATAAGCTAATAATGAACTTGCAAAATGATCACATATTTACATATGCATTTGAATTGGAAATCCCATGCGGGATAAAACTATAATATTATAGTCTATTTACGTACTTAAATTAAATTAATTCACTTATTGTACGTGATAAGCTAATAATGAACTTGCAAAATGATCACATATTTACACATGCATTTGAATTGGTACAGTTGAATTGAATGTCCTAAGTCGCCCAATTTATTTATACTTTGTAAAATTAATTTCAACATAAGACTATTATATTATAAATTAAACATCGTAACATATATCTACCACATTCAATACACGAATACACCTACATGTTTTCAAGTTGTTTATATTTATTATCTAGACTGTTGGACCTGGCACTTGGTGGCATGCTCTTTAGGTCAAGAATCTTTACATTTTATGACATATTTAGAAATACTATTAATGATTTTATTATAAATTTTATATAATACAATTTGTAGTTGGACCAAATTAGAAAATTATTATTTTTATAATTATTTATATCGGCTTTATAATTTTTTTTATATGTATAAGCCTGCTACCCTCGACAAAGCCTATATATGTAAAATTCAATGAATCAGTCTATATTTCTACAAGATCTAGATACAAGTCAAAAGTTATTTATAAAAAGCTAAGCTACTTATAAAAATATTAGATCTAGATTTAGAATTTTTTTGAACATTCGTTTGTAAGCTGTTGCTAGATACAGGAAAACTGTTGTTGTTCTATCAGCCAGTTAACTGTTCGCTGCTGAACATAGCCTTCCCCAACAGGGAGGTTTTGCCAGTAGTTGCCACGCTTGGCAAGCGGGTTGGCAACCGCAATTAGTTTTAAGAGAAACGCTGCTATCCATCCCTCTACCAAGAGCTCCTTTAGTTGCCTCTTGCGATACGGTAAAGAAAGGCATGGCCTATTCTATGCCGGGACCAACACGGCAACAGATATATACTAATAAATACAGTAAAATTAACTAATTTTTGAAAAAAAATTAACTATGTAATTGCAAAATGGATTCAGTATATCTAGATATAATAAATATCATCAATTACAAATATATTTAGGCAACTTTCTATTGTTAATTGCAAGAATTACACAATATGTTCAGACATCTAAAATCAGCCAATTAAAACAATATCCCCAGACAGTGTGTCTACGACGTCTACGTGTATTGGAATGGATGTATCGATGTGTCGCAGCATCAGCCGAATCGAAGTTAGGCATGAATGGCGGCGCCCCGCTGCTTGTGAGTTATGTAGCGGGCCCCCGGGGCGCGCCGCTGCCTTCACACCTCCGCCCGCGTGTGGTCCCGCGGTTTACGAGCCGGCCCCGGCTGCTGCGCGCGCGCACTGCTCGCACTATGCAAAAGGTAGCCAAATAATCAAGAAACCTTTAAAATCGATTTAAAATCACCAAAGAGAGACTTTGTACATAAATCGTTTGCTTGGACATCTCTGTCCCGTTCGTGTTTCTAACGTAAAGCAGTTGTGTTTGCATGGCTATGTTTCAGTTTGAAGGGTGGGATATGGCAGTAAATTTACAGAGTATAGAGATATAACACCTGAGACCTCAGGAATATCGAGATAGGAATAACGAGGGGTATCACGGGCGAAACAATGCACTCTGTTATGTCCACGGTACTACTCATGTCTAGGCGGCGGTTACCACTTTCCATCAGCTTGTTTGTCATTCTAAGTTGCATAAAAGAAAATACTACAGTTCAGTCCGATTCTGTTATAGTCCCTATCAATCTCGAAGTGTTTCTATTTACCAATGCGAAAGTGAACTGAGTCGATGTCGGAAAGGGTATAGTATGAATCCGGCCTTACATTTAACGTTTGCCTACCTCGCGCATAATGTTTTTTAAACTGCATCTAAATCTTCCGGCGTTACTAGTAGATATCCTGGCCCCAAGATATTATAATATTAGTCACATTAGTGTGTGTATTTTACTGGAGAATTATTTTATTTGTTAGACTTATTACGACCTGCCGGTTTTCCTGCGAGATACGATACGACCGCCGCCATTTTTATTAGACAGGAAGGAAATTCTAACGTTTAATATATTCAAAGTAAAATGTCCGATGTATATTTATACAAAATATCTCGTTTCGATCCGGTTTTAAGACGAATCAATACCTGGTTATGTGTATTATACGAGTATATCTATATATTTCGAAATAAGTGCCAATACTTTAATGTAATAGAAGTTTATAATAATGTACATTTTTAACGCTGTTTATAATACTTTAGAGATCATAATTTTTATTGTTATTAAACTGCGTTTCTGAACCAAATAACTAACTATTTAATATTTAAACTATCAAATAAAAATACTTTAGTTACTATAGAAAAGATCTGCCATTTAAAATCTAGATAAAATAGGTAACCAATGAAACTTGGAATATTTTTACCTTAAACTTTCGGCATTAATATACATATATACTTACTAACTTTTAATTCGCGTACAAAAAAAAATATTTCTAATATCCAACTCGGATAGTATAATTCAGCCTAAATAGGACTAAGTCTGCATAAATATATGGTTTCCTGTTTATTCGAATGTGGTACTCATGTTTGTTTTGTATATTTGTGTTTGTGTGTAAAGGGTAATATTACGTATAAGCTCGGTTATTTATCGCCGTCCCACTGCCCAATCGAGATTTATACTGCCAAGAGGAAATCACACTTTTTTTTACTAACCTATAGGTTATTTTTATCAATAATAAGCCTAATAATAATAGAAAATAGGGCTTGATGTTTTTAAATCTTTTTTTTTTCGCAATTGTTAAAATGAATGTTTATTTCCTTATATATCAGCAACTATCGTATTCCGGACACACAGGCGAAGTCGTAATTAAAAGCTAGCCTTAGAATAAAAAAATAAATGATTAAACTTAACATTTACTAATTTTTATTTAATGTTCCATGCTGAAATAGAAAAAATAAGGTCCGTCCTCAACTGAAGAGGATACAAGAAGTGCGGGACACCCGGGCACAAACTCCTCGGGGATGCAAAGCGCTTCATTCCACCACCCGTCGTTAAAAACTTTCTCAATTTTTTTTATTATTATTTTTTTCGACAGATTTTTTGCACCGTAACACACAGAACAAAAGTTCTACAAAACGGTATACTCATAAATTCACCGTTGTACCTGTCTGACTATTTGTCATAAACCTTTTTCTGAAAAACAAATGTATGTCATGCACATTCAGTTAATTATAATATCTCTTCAGACAACGGAACAAATATTGTAATGTATGATGCAAGCATAATTGCAAGCTTATTATTTATATAAGAGCGCATATCGCAAGATAGATAACAGATTAATCACTAAAATGACTAACATCCTTCACTTATCCTTCTTTATAAACAATTATTGTAAATAAATCTTTGCATACCTTTTTCAATATAAATAACTAACAAAATAAACTAGTTAACAGGATAAAAGTATAGTTTGTATCAAATTATTTAAATTACTATGTAACTAGCCTTTAACGCGACTTCGGTCTCATGATCGGTATATTTTTACTGATCGAGATAAAAAGTAAACCTTATCCATACCATATGGTACTTGTATACCAAATTTCGTAGTAATTGATTAAGCTGTTAAGGAGCTATAATGTAACAAATAAACTCACTTTCACATCTAGAATATTAATAAGAACTATAGATTATTATTAGACTTTCTTGAAAACGTAATTACGTTAAAAAATTTAATTACGTTAAAATTTAAGATAGATTTTATGCTTATTGAAAAAACAAAAAAGACAGAACGCTATGTATAAAAAATTGTCTTAAAATGTTTAACTGTTCTGTACTATAATCTATTTGAAACTATACAAGATAAAGTCAGTCATATACCTACATCCTATTAATACATTTTGCGATAAGGTAGGTACTCCTTGATTATCTCTATGTTCCGCTATTAGTTAATGATACCCAAATCGATACCGTGTTACTGATATCTATGTATTTAATCTCGGCAATCAGCGCCAGACAAGAATTAGTAGGTAGCTATTAATGACAAGCAGAATTTTTTTGTGTGTTGTTATGTATTATATTCATGGCCGATTGATTATTTTTACATAACTGTAAACTGTAACTACTTCTGTTGCATGTTCTCGACATATGTATGTCGACAAATCGAAATTGATATATATTTTTATATAATAACTTTAAACATTGTAAAAAATATATAAAATTTATACCCAAATCGATATATTTATATACTACTTACATAAATTTTTATGTAATCTCGGTATATATATATATATAGGAGTATACAGCTCATTGTTTTATTACTAAGATAATTTCTTGTAATTGTTTGTATCTATAATAAGTTTACTATTGTAATCTTTTGGAGGAAATAATAAAGAATATCTATCTATCCTTAATCCTTTTTGAGTTATGAAAAAAAAAAATGAAAAAAATATTTATTTTGTAACAAAATTGATACAATACTAAGATCGTTGTTGTGACCTTCTAGTAAGTATTACCTGTATCAGAAGGTAATGTCCTCCATAACCATGAAAATATATAATCATAGTACCATAAAATTAAGACATAAACATTATCTAGTAGGTAATAAGTATATCTAAATGCATGCATGCGTGTTGTGCATGCATGTGTGTGTGTGTGTGTGTGCGTGTGTATATGAATGTATGTGTGCGAAAAGTTATTAATCTATACTAATATTATAAAGAGGAAAGATTTTTCATTGTTTGGTTGTAATGGGTAACAAACTACTCAACTGATATTAAAAATTATTTTATTCATAGAAAGATACACAAAAAAAAATACTAACGATAAATATTTGCGTATTCAGATTCGACAAGATTAAAACTACTCATTTTAGATGACATTTTCAGATTCATTCTCTTAGATTGAGTTACTGCAACCACGCCAGCCGCGTCATTGTTGCATTTTCATGAGATCTTTATTTAAGCTCCATCCACACATGCATGCTCGTATTTCTAACCCACGCGCAACGCTCAGTGTGATAAAGCCAGGGCAGGATTAATCTCTGTGCACGCACTATCATGCTGTCAACAATAAACTTATTATTCAATGAGTACAAGTATATTACACTATTACTATTGGATCATAGTCATTAATAAATCGATTTATGAAACTACTAGCCTTTACCCGCGTCTTCGTCTGAATGACCGGAACCAGTGTTCACTGACCAGGATACAAAGTTTCATTAAAAGGAAAATGTAACCAAGTGTGATTATTTTTTATTTGAATTTATGACTCTAAAGTTTATCGTCCCAATATATTTATTAAAGTTATATACTTAAAAAAAAAAAACATTGATTATGTACTATTTAATAGTGTTTGTTTTTTTTATTTATATATTCTTTTAATTAATTGTAATGATGATTAATACTGTAATGAGATTTCTTTTCAATCTCCGTATAATAACGTGCAAACATAATGAGGACACGAGTCAAGTTAGAAAATTAATATTCTAGATTGTTGACCTTGATCTGTATCATTGGTTTATTTATTATATATTTATTTTATTTTATATATATATATATATATATATATATATATATATATATATATATATATATATATATATAAAGATAAACCCAAACCAAAACATAAAATTTTTAATATTTTAAACAAAATAAAAGGAGTATGAAGGATAATCCAATCATAATTGTGCTGAACAACATTTATGAGAAACCAGCAACCAGGTCGGGTTCTTTTTATATTGACCCCTGTAATCTTTATTTAATCACTACTAAATCCGACCCATTTTCGCATAGGAAGATAGAATTTTCAAAAATAATATTACGCCTACATTACGCGCTGATAATGTAACTTTCTAAAAATAAAAACATGTTAAAATGGGTTGAGTAGTCTTAAGTTTATGCATTACATACAATAAACAAACAAACAATCAAGTTTTTTTCTGTTTATTAATATTATTATATATATAAATAAAAAAAAATATATTATCTAAACTAATATAAGAAAGATTTGACTTTTTTGTTTTTAATGGATAAATTAAAAAAATACTTAATCAAATTTAAAAGACCCTTCACCCATGGAAAGCTTTTAGCATGGTTAAAAAAAAGGTGTGTGTTACTATTTTAATATCGAATAGAAAAAAAAAAGAAGAAACTCAATAGGTCTAATCCGGCACTGGTGATAGTCAACGCACAAACTGTTGTACTGTCAAGCGATTAAACAGGCTTCTTATGGCCTGCAAAATATTATATATATTACATTTATTTCGAGAATATGACATTTTGATAAATGCGTAACACATAAGTATTATTTATAGGTCTTGTAAGTTGTAATATTTGTAAAATGGGAAATTCTTATTTGGCTTTATAACAATAAATAAATGT